TTGGGTTCTCTAGGTGTTCCCAGATCTGATCTGCTCCTATCCTGGGTAGTTGTTCACTGTCCCAGACTCAGCCAATGTCCTCAGTGACTTGGGTGGTGTGGCTCAAGTGGTTATCAGTGAAGACTGAAGCAAAAAAGTCATTGAGTAGTTCAGCCTTCTCCATGTCCTCAGTAACCAGGTCACCTGTATTGCTCCAGAGAAGCCCCATATTCTCTCTCATTTTTCTTTTTTCTTTCAGATACCTGTAGAATCCTTTTCTGTTATTTTTAATGTCCTTGGCCAGATTTGATTCCATCAGGGCTTTAGCTTTCCTAACCGGGTTTCTGATTTCACAAGCAATCTCCTTGCAATCATCCCAGGTTACCAGTCCTTGCTTCCACCCTTTGTGGATTCCCATTTTGTGTTTGATTTTGACCAGGAGTTCCTTGTTCATCCATATAGGTCTCCTGGCACTTTTGCCAGATTTCTGCCTTTTAGGGATGCAGTGCATTTGAACTTGGAGGAGATGATCCTTGAAAGTCAACCAGCTTGCCTGGGCTCCTGATCCCTCCAGGACTTTGTCCCATGCTATGTCGCCAAGGAGGTTCCTGAAGAGGCCAAAGTCAGCTCCTCTGAAGTCGAGGGTTTCAAGCTTCCTGAGCACCCCTTCTTTTCTGCCCTTAGGATCTTAAACTCTGCCATCTCATGTTCACTGCAGCCAAGGCTGCCCATGAGCTTAACATTTCCCACCAGGCATTCCCTGTCGGTGAGAAAAAGATCTAGCATGGCATCTCTCCTCGTTGTTTCATCTATCACTTGGAGAAGGAAGTTATCATCAGTGCATTCCAGGAATCTCCTGGATTGTTCCCTGCTGTTTTGTCTCTCCAGCTGATACTGTGATGGTTGAAGTCCTCCATTAGGACCAAGGCATATGAATGAGCAGTGACTCCTATCTGTCTATGAAAGGCCTCATCCACTTGGTTCTCCTGGTCAGGTGGTCTTTAGCAGACCCTCACTGTAATGTCTCTTACCCTTCCTTTCACCCTCGCCCACAGGCATTTGATCTTTTCATTGTCTCTTGCCAGGTGTAGCTCCATGCATTCTAGCTGTTCACTGACATAGAGGCCAACACCCCCTCCTTGTTTCCCCATCTGTCCTTCCTGAAGAGCTTATACCCTTCTAATCCAACGCACCAATTGTAGGAATCATTCCACCATGTCTCAGTGATGCAGATTAGATCGTGATGCTGCAGACACACAGGCATCTCCAGCTCCTCTTGTTTATTGCCCACACTGTGGGCGTTCACATAAAGTCATTTGAGCTGGGCCCCTGATGAAGTATCTGAAGTCCTCAATGAAGCATGATTGCACTTCAGCTGGTCTAATGGTTTGTTGTTAATCTTATTTATGTAAATAGGTAATTTATAATTTTTGTGCTAATATTTATAAAGTTTAATGAATGATCAATGGCAATTGTAGTTTGGAAGATACTGAAGGAATTGGGGTGATCTTCTGTGCACATACTTCATCCATATATGCTCTGTTTTTCAACTGTCTTCAGTCTACTGTCATCATCGAAGTCTGAGTTAACTGACATTAGTGTTTTATCTCAGCTATTCCTGGCCAATAGACAAAGAATGGGTTTTGGTGAAATGGAATAAGAAGGTTTAAATAAATGGCTTGCAAGCCTGAATTTCTTTCTTGACATATCTGAACTGCTGCCACTCATCAAGTGGAGAGAAGGGACACCAGTGAATTCTGCTGGAACTGTACAAATTCATTTATCCTTGCATTTGACCTGGCTTACAAAGCCTCTTTGATAATATCCACTACTTTCAGCTTGTGTTTATATTTTAAGAACAAGGATATTTCATAAATTGTGTCCGGGAGACACTGAGGACCGCTACCTCTGTTTATGAATTATTCACTCACAAGAACTCATAGTCTCAAAATGTAAAAAGTATTTTTTTTGTGTTCAGTATTATTTAGATACATAGTAAAAAACATTACCTGAGCCTACCTCCAAAAATATTGGTTACAGCCCAGAAATATCTAGTTTCAGAGAAGGCACGTAAGATGATGACACTACAATTTTAATGTCTTATTAAACTTTTGTACCATTTTTTTTCCCCAGATCATTATTATTTTCCATCAAGTGAGTGTTTAATTGGAAGGCACTATTATAAGCACACAATTTATCATGAAATTAAATTGCTAATGTTTAATATCTTCTAATAGCTAGCATTGCAACACTGTTCTAGTCTTTTATGAAGCTAATGCCTGATAAAATGTCATAAGCTTATGATATTACATAGATGAGAAAATGCACAGGAAGAATTATGAAATTTTGGGGAAAAGTCATTAAAAGTTACCTCATTGACTTCTCACATACAAAGGTGTTTTATAATCTTAATGACGTGAAGTCTCCGAATTGTAAATGATTTAATTTAAGCATTACTTATGTTTTTATAAATGTCTGAAGCACTATATAAATGTCTGAAGCACTATTGTGATGACTACCATTAAAAAATCACTTTTCTCCATTTATCTTAGATTCTACTACAGGCAGTAGAGAGCTGCCTTTACTCAGACAGTCATCTTAGTTGTATGTATCTTACATGATTGCTGCGCGTAAGGGAAAAAACTAAACTAGTGGAAAAGGCAGAATGACAGAATTGCTGAGGCTGGAAAAGACCTGAGATCATCAAGTCCAGTCTATGACTCAACATCATCACATCAGCAAAGAAGAAGCAGTAGAGATTTATAGAAGAGAAAGATAACTCCATTTCCAGAAAATCAGATGTGGAGAGTGAAAACCCTCTTACCAGGCTAACATTTGGAAGTCTGTGTTGTTAGGAACTTAGGGAGTTGTTGAAAACCCATAGTAATTTTCTTATGATAAAAGCTGAATAGCCAGAGTTAAGGATGTTAGCAAAGCAGTTTGATCTTCAAGTATTACCATAGACCTTTGACTAATTTTTGTTCCATATTTCATCAGAGTTGTATTTGTGTATGAAATTGTAGTTCAAAAAGGATTCATCCTTGTAACCTTGGGGATCTTTTCCCCCATAGTCATTATTAAAGTTCTATTGTTTTTTCCCATTTATGAAAATATACACTATAAAAGTATATAAAAATATTTTTTTTCTGCCAAGAAAATCTGGGGAAAAGAGTATCTCTAAAAACAGCTTGAAAATTAAAATATTAGTTTTGTTACAGGCTTTATTCCCCCTTGCCACCTCTTATTTACTTCCGTTTCTTTCAGAGAAATTATTCACAGAATAAAATATTCTTCCATCTAGAGATAGATATTGGATAACTGATATCTATTAGAAATAAACATTTGGAGATGTCAGTAATTCAGTACAGATTAATGTTCTGTACTGACCTCAGCAAGCCAGATTATGATTTGGATGGAGAATTCACAATGAGGACTGAAGTGACAAATACTCAAAATCTCTTGGGCAAACAGGTGAATTAGGTCTACTGATAGGTCTGAAATAAATGTATTTGTGGAATCAGTTCCACTTCGGAATAACTTACTGTTTATTCAGCTGTTCTTATGTATTTACCTGGAATTACATACAGGTATCTTTAACCAGAGCAGAAATAGTGTAACACAAATCTGACAAAAAAAAAAAGTCATTAATGTTCTAAAAATGTTTTCAGTTAATAACGACAGAATTATCTGCAGCTTCTAACTATTTTGTATGCTGGTGTATATGACTAAGCTTTTTTATGTAGGCATGTGCAGCATTACGGTATAGCTGTTGCTTTATAAATATAAATCTGTGTTAATATATTTTAAAGAGACATGGTTCACAGTGATCAGTTGTATGCATGGCCATGTTTATTTGGAACAGATTAAAAGTCATGTGAAATATATCCCATATGACAGTTCTGTAGAATTACACTTGCTTTTCTAAAAGGGAAGGTGGATACAGTGCTTCATTTAGTGTTTATGAGTGTTTGTTTTTTTTCTGAGCATATATGATATCAAACCTGTATTTTCATCCGTTGAGGTGTGGTAAACCTTTCACAATGACATGAGGGTCCATCCAGAACAGCACCATTGCGTGCTGCAGCTATCTGCAGCAACACACGGGTCTGCCCGTGATGTGGTTCCGGACTGGCAGACTGTGTTCCATGAACGATGTCACTGGCTTGGGTTTCCCTCCTCTGCTCAATCATTCTTCTCCCTGAAATCCCATCAACTTAATGTCTTTGAAACCCTGGTCCCACTCTCTAAATGTGTTTGACATTTGCTTAAAATGAGACCTTTGCATAAGCCTTGCTTCTTTAGGAATCCTGGGAACTCAACAAAACCCCCTAGACTACAGATTAAATCTTTTGGTGGGGTAATAATGTAAAATTTTTTTCAGATAGGCTGTTAAGAATGCTTTAATTAATGAGTTTTGTTTGTTGTTTTTATGACCAACTCTTGCACACTGGGTCGTATTTTAAAATAATTTCTTGTGACTGTATTGAGTAGGTTCCAGAAAATGCAGATAATTTGAATACCACCATGTTCAGTATGGAGGTGGTCTGTTTGTTGGCATCCCTTCCAAACTACTCTGTTGTCCTCCATGATTTAGTGTCTGTTCCTGAATGGAATACTTTTTGCAGTGATAAAACAGCACTGGCACTTTTAATTAGGAAATTCTGTAATATTCCCAGAGATATAGTACCAAGTGCAACCTCCACTAAGTAACTGGAATTCTACAAAACATAAGTAATTGAAGAATTTGTCCTGTTATGATATCAACAGCAGGAAACAAGAGTTTGTGTGAAGGTGTAAATTTGAATTACTTTAGTACTGTTGATTTTAAGTAATGCCTACTATTCCTGTTATTTAAGGTAAGAAATGGTATTTTTAAATATCTTGTATAAAAATATTATATATTCTACATAAAAAGCACCAGATTCACTGTTCTAAATGAGGATATGACTTTTTTTTATTGCTTCATGTGCAAACGTGAAACTACACTAAAAAATATTCCCTTTTCTTTTTATCCTTGTCAGTCTCAGACAGTTTGGACCCTGGACGCCATGGGTGTCAGACCTGGAGGTTCTCCAAGACAGAAACTCTTAAAGGACTCCTTAGCCGCAAAAGAACTTCAGACCATGGAGAAACACCTAGCTGGTATGTACGACAGCAAGGGTTCATAAAACCCCTAACAGTACTCACCCAGCTAGCTCTGCCAATATTTTAGATGAAGGAAATAATTATCTATCTCATATGCTGATGAAAACAGATAAAAACTTTACACTTCCCTTTTTATTTATCAAAATGAAACAGCACAATTATTATTGTGTTTGTAGATGTAATGAACTTTGCTGTAATTACAGTAAATATGGTAATTATATGGTAATTCAGTTATGTTAAATATACTGCATTCTGACAGCTTAATAGCATACCTTTTTGTTTTTATATTTCTCCAAGACTTACACAAAGAGGAGCTATTGATATTTCACCTGCATTTAAATAGTCTTTAGCAAAGGCTGCAGTGGATCTTTAGCTGGAAAATAGATTGTTTTGCAGGAAAAGCCCACCATGTTCTAAGTGAAATCTGTTAACTGCATGCAATGGAACATCTGCAACATTTTTGATCTAGTAACCGTTTCTAAAGGGTTAAAAAACAAGCAAAACCCCCCCTTTTATTTCAGGGAAAATATGTTTAAAAGCAGTATAAGAATTAAGGAGTGATATCCTAAGATACAGCATGCAATTTAATGTTCTTTGTAATCAGTATTTTCTTATCTTCAGCTTTATTTGAAGGGTATGACATAGACCTATAGCATGGGAATCCTGTACTATGCTATTTGTCATATGGTGAAAGTTGTGCTTCGTGGGACAACTCTATGAAAAGCAGTGCAGAACTGGAACACAAAGACCATGAATGTAGGGTGGAGGGAGAAGTAAAATTTATCTGACCCTTATTTCAAGCTGTTCTGAGTGAGGCAGAGAAATTACTGCTTTCAGTGTGATTTTCTAAATGACTGTTGACATTTATTCTGCCAATAATGTTGTAGTGAAAGGCTTGGGAGCTGTATCCTCTTTGGAGACGTACAGCAGTTGTACTTTTGTGTAAGGGCTGTTGCAGCTGAAGTCAAGGTGGAAGACAAAGCTATGAGCACAATGAAGGAAACATTTTAGAAAATATTTTTAATTGGAATGGAACAAGAACTAAAAATTATGATATCTTCGAAGAAATTTTAGATTTATTTTGTTTCTGACAACAGAGATACTGTCATTCAATTTTTCTTGGTGTGTTCAAGTCACTGTAGCTATTAGAGATGTAGCCTCTGCCAAACTAGACTGAAAATCCAGGAGACCAGCAGGTCAGACTGTGGTCATCAGGTTTCTGTGACATATCCAAGAGGCCTCTGGCACTGAGCTAGCACTCACCTTCCCTTGAGCTGCTGCAGTCCTCACTCTTCTGCTCAAGATCGCCCTGCTTTGATTTGTGTCCTAAATGGTCACACTTCCATGCCTGTACAAGCTGTTCTTCTATGTAGTATGCTTTGGAACACTCAGTTTCTTTAGATCTCCCTTGACAGTAATAACTAACATATTCAGTAGAATACAGAATTTTAAATGCTTAATTGACTGTAAGCTAACTAGGTGCATTCACTTAGTCTCAGAGATTCAGTTTGCTGTTGTGTGACCTACAAAGTCTTCTCTCTCGCATCAGTACTGTTGTTGTCATTTGGTTTGGGCCCATTATTTCACTAATGCTGTAACATGGGGTTCAGCTGTTCTACTGTTCAGTAATTTTTCTCTGCTTGATAAATTCACAAGAAAGCAGCCCAATTATTAGACGTTGGACTCTTGTATTCCTAATAATTAACATCCCATTATAACACCATTGCTGCCTGAGACAATTATTCCCCTCACAGACAAGCACAATATAATTTCTGTGAAGAATAAGCTCACAGGACCTCAAATAATACCTTGTTTTTGCTTAGCCTTATTTGTCTCATACATTTACAAAAGTTCAAGTGTCTCTGATATCAGCAAGTCTCCTTGTTTCAGTTCTCTTACCAAGTGAATTTAGAATGTAGAATTTATTAATTCTACACAATACTAGGCAGTCATTCAGATGCCTGAATTATGACCCGGATAACCTGTGTAATGATGAAATGTGGTCCCCTATCTCAGACAGACCTTCTTAGGGAGCCTGGCTTCCTCTTATGGACTAGGTGCTGGATAAAATTCTCCTAACATAAGGCACGATTTGGTGCCTGTGCCTAATTTAGGGACTAGCACCAACTGCCAGCAACTGCCTTGGTACCTGGATATTTGAAAGCACCATTTTTGCAAAATCAGATATTGAAGCAATTAGTTTTCTTTTCCTTCTCTACATTCAGCTGATGATATTTCTGTCTGTTACTGTTCTACATAAAACACAAGTGGAGTATATTTTGGTTTGGTAGTCAGTTCCAGTATCTTGCCAGTTTGGTTTGTTATACTGATTCTGTGGTCATTGAATACTTCTGGAATATATTTTAGCACAAGAAGAACTGTTAAATGCATAAACAGTTCATAAGCACATTATGAATCATATCTTTATTCTGGTGTTTCTGATGTGAAAGTAAAATGCACCTGAGTTGCTCTGTTTCCTGCATTTTATTTTCCTTTAAATGACATTGATGAGGGATTAAAAAAAATCAAAGCTGTAATTTATCTACTATGGATGAGATAATACAGTAAAGCTGGAGATGTGCTATTTTTTTTCTCTTCTTATTTCTGGTAGAAAAGCTGACATGGAAGCAAAATCAAAAAAAGGATTGTGCTAAATAAAACTGAATAATTACGCTGTGGAAACATGTTAATTATATGCTGATAAATAATTAGAAGAATTGCTTTACATGCAAACTTGATTAGTATATGAAATTAAGGAAACATGAGCCAGAATAAAATGTTTATTTAACTCTTATTAAATCATTCAATATTCAGATAATTTCTTAGCATACTGAATCATCATGGGGAAGTTAGAGGTCTGTAATTTTGCAAGGACATAGGGTAAGCTGAATCTTTACAAGAACATATTCCTCCTTTGGTTTAAGATGGGTAGACCACATTGTCATTTATTGGGTGCTGAATTTTTGCCAGGCATCTCACAAGTTCCAAAGTGATGTGTATTGATTTTTTTTAAAAGCATAATGGAAGAGTACTTCAAGACATAGTTATTTCAAAGTGGAAATAATTAATTTTAAGAGGTCATCAAAGTAGAAGTTAGAAATATTCTTAACTGTGTGCTAGAAACAATAGCTATGTTTTGAAATTTGCTCAAAACATTTGAACTTTAAATTTAGAGTTGAAGAACACTTCTGAAGATTTCACAAGTATTCCAATTTTGCCAGCTTTTCTACTAATAGCATTTGAAATGTGCAGAATATCTTGTATTAGAATATTAACATGAAATGAAAATATATTATTTTCCTAGTTTTGAGGTGTTATGATAAAATATGTTAATGTCAAAGGTGACACATCTTTAGTTTTTTTGCATACGGTATTCCTATTATATCTACAAGTGAAAGAAGATCTGAATTTCTAATATGCAGTTTAGAATCTGTTTCTTTTTGGACTTTTAGAACCTTTTATCAAAATAAAAATGAAATGTTTATTTTTTGTAAGTTCACTTAATATGTATTTAAATCAGTAGAGTCTTGCTGATTTACAGATTCTGGAACTGTGACTTATACAGTTTAACAGGAAATAGTGTTGCTTTTCTAAAGATAACAAACTCTTCCTGTCAAAATCAAGTTGCAGTAGAGTATATGCTAGTGAGAGTGAAAATTCATAACAATTGTGAAAGATAAACTCAAGTAAACTGTTTCTTAAGGTTGACATTTTTACTGGCAAGGACTTTCAGTATGTTAGCAATACTAACCTGAATTCCAGCTACCTTGACCTTTGTTGGTTATATCTCATTTAATTCATTAGAAGCATGAATATGATTAAAATTAATTCAAAAGACACTTTTCATCACTACCCATAATCTATTTTAATAGGATCTTATTACTTATAGCTGCATGAAGAGTAGGGACTGGACCACCAAATGGTGGCCACCTTTTCTCCTTGGATTCTGGATGTTGGTGACACTCTCACCTTCTGTGGCACTGGTGGGAGGCCAGAGCACAAAATTCAGATTCAGACAGGATCACAGATCCAGGTATGCCAGAGTTCAAGGGTTATTTCCTCCAGAATTTTGGCTGGGAAATAATCAGCAAGGCCAGGAGGAAAAGTCTTGTCTTGAGCCAGTTTTGGATTTTCCTTCGCTGCCACTGAGGGTGCCACTTTTCCACCTTGGTTTGATACTGATGAGAAACAGTGGCAAAAGCCACTTTGAAGAAACAAAAGGGATTTTTATAGGTTGTACTGATGTTCAATAAAGTGGTAGTGTATAATTTCTGTGGAATAGCTCTGTTTCCAGTGAATCAAGTATAAATAAACTTTGAGGAAATGCTTGTCAAAAGTTTGAACTGTTAATTCTGATGCCTTTTATTTCAAGGGTGAATAGATTTTCTCTGCACAACTCCAGGTTGTCTCTTACATCACAGAAAATCTATAAGAGTTTTAAACAAGACAGAAACAGAAAGTGAGTTTCTTTATTTTCTTTTTTTGTTTGCGTGTGTGTTCACAGATATTGAGAAGGACCTAGCACTTTGGGAAGAAGCAAGGCTCTCAAGAAGCCCTAGTATCCAGCGTCATAGTTTAGTTACATCTGACCATCAAGGCAATCTTCAAGCTACACAGGGCCAAAATCCGAGGCCTCAGGTGCCAACTCAGATGGGGAAGAACATCCAGCTCCAAGGAACCAAATCACCACCACTGCCCAGTAACGGCAGAACACAGGTCTCCAGTGTTGCAAACAGCAGGCCTCCAACACCCGGTATACAAACCAACAGGCCATCAACTCCAGGGAGCAGACCTGTGACCCCAAATAGCTTGCTGTCACGGCCTCTTACCCCTAGCAACCAAGGAAATAGGGAAGGCAACATTAGTATCCAAAGAAGCAGATCTTTGACATCTAAAAGCCAAATGGGGAGGACCCTCAGCGCCGCTTCAGGGCTCTCTGTGCAAATGAGTGGAGACATTGTTGGAACTGTCACTACTCAGAGAAGCAGTTTATCAGAAGTAAGATTTTCAATTTAATGTTTTTGATATGTTTAAGAGCTGCTTATAACATGAGGACTAGATTATGTCTTACATTAGTACACCTAATGTAACTTGCTACACTGAGAAGAACTTGAAATAGAATGATGTGAAAATTAGCAAGGAAGTACCGCTCAGCTTTGAGAGGTACTGATTAGGGAATGTTGAGATTATTACAGAAATCATACTGAAACACTCATAGCCCCCAAATTTTCCATGAGCTCTGTAGGGATTTGCCTGCATAACGCATAGCAGTATTTGTTAGCTTAAGAGGTGCATACCTCTGGAATTTTAAACACAACTTAATCTTATCTTCATTATTTCAGGGTATTTTGTTCTGCTGCACTGGCAGAGCATAATATTTCCTTGATCTCCTTTTTCTTTCATTAATTTTGAGCCATTGGAACAATTAGTTAGGCATTGCTGAATAGACAAATTTTCCAAAACACAAAACTGAACTGCAAGGAAAAAAAGTCTAACATTGAATCACTATCTAGTACTATGTACATGTTAACTAGGTTGATTCAGAGCATAAAAAATTCCTATCCTATGTTAATGGCTTTTACGGGATTAGTCTCTGTTTAAAACAAAACAAAAGAAAAAGTTAGTACCTTGTAAATTTTGAGTGGGATTCTCCTCTGTTAACTTTACCTGCCTTAAAGATAACTTCAGTGTGTAGGCAGTGGAAATAAAAGCACCTGTGAAAGAATAGCCCTGCTGTCTATCTATCTCAGATATATGCCTTACAAAGGTGATTTTTTTTTTCTCAGGAAATGCCAGTCCTTCTATACTGACTTGAGAAGGACCTATATGTCTAGATTGCTGATTTTTTAATAGTGGAATAAGTCAGTTCCACCATTAGTATGAATCACTTTGTAATCCATTTGTCAGAGTCTGGAGAGCTTTTTTCCAAGACAGAAAAATATTATACCTTTAGATAGTTGTTTCTGAGAGGTATCATTGTTTTTAAAAACATGACATGATGTATTATCAGTCTAATGACTACTTAAAAATTAAACAATGTTGACAATAATATTGCTTAGAGATGCTTGTAGAAAAATTAGAGATTTGATACTTAGTGTAATCTTGCAATTAAGTATATAGCCTCCATTATTTATTATGAAAGACGGGAAATGAGGCATAGATAACTCTAAAGCTAAAGAATTTGGAGAGGAAATCTTAAATTTGTGGAGAAACAAAAATCCTCATTTTGGTGTTTGAACAGCAGTGCGCTAATCCCACCACTTGAGCTACTTCTTTGCCTAGAATTGGGTATCCAACTTAAAGACATGAAGACTGAAGGTGGCTACAGTTCTGTTGAAAATATCTTCACTGACTGTTGATTTTCAGACCAGAAGTTTTCTATTTGTAAAAAAAAAAGCAATTGTAACAAATTTCTTTTTGACCAACAAAATCTCTTTGTCTCTTGTTTTGAGGGGTGGATGTGTTTGTGTTTTGGAATTTTCTCACATCCCATAAAATGAGAATTTAAATTCACTTTTAACTAAAAGTATTCAAAAGGAATGAAGTGTTTCATTGTTTCCCACTAAACACTTCACTCCTCTTTTTCTTTATTTCTTTTTAAGCAGTCTTGTTCTTAACTGATGCATAGTCGTGTGATACCAGCTAGAATTGTTGTATAAACTCCTGGAAGTTCCACGTAATGAGCACTGCATCTCCACGAAGGGAATTCTACTCTGTACATCATTTCTGATCTTTCCTGTAGTGAGACAGACAATTAAAAATGTTTTCTTCCTCAGCCTTTCTGTAGTCGTAATAATAATAACAACCGAGTCCCATTTCGTTTGCTATGACTTGTTGCTTCTGTTTTCCAAATCCTAAGCTTTGCTGATAGCTCTTACAATGTCTCCTGTTATACTTTTAATACGTGTATATACATCTCAAGAACTTGAAGAAATGAGAAAATTGCTTTTTTTTACAATTAGAGTAGTATGTCTAGTTTTATCCAGCAAGTCCACTATAAAGTTAGTGTTAAATATCGGCATTTCTATGCAAGATCTTATCCTCTGTTATAATCCCTTCTAGAAGTGACAAATTCTTTTCTCTTTCTTTGCTCACGGGGTATAATAGTACATTGGCTGCTAGTGACCCAGCTCAAACCCTGTTTATACTTTCCTGACATGCAGAAGTGACCTTTGACTTAACAGAAACTCGTCTTGGGTCTAGCTCTTCTTTCAAGGGGAAAAATGCTAATATGACACATTCATACTGAAGACCTTCGTCTGCCAAGCTGTAAAGGCCCTCAGATGTCAAAAAGCGAGTGACGAAGGTCTGGCCAATCTGCTGCATCATACTAGAAGCTTTGGGAGCTCTTTTAAGCTGTCTTTGCCCACTGGAGTTCCTGGCCGCTTCTCTAAGTGACCAGGAAGTGTTTCTGTTCAGCGACATTTTTTGTCATGTTAGAGGTGTCCACTTATTTGTGGCCGTATGGTTTCATTCTCTTGTGTCACAGCTGCTGATTTCTGTTCAGCGACATTTTTTGTCGTGTTAGAGGTGTCCACTTATTTGTGGCCATATGGTTTCATTCTCTTGTGTCACAGCTGCTGTCTGACCACAGAGAAAATTTCGAAATGGCAAAGGTGGCCTGTGATAGAACAACAAAGTTCTGTCTGTCCTTGTACTTTTACAGATGAGAAACATATAAAACTCAAGGCTGATAGCGTAAATTATTTTGCAACTTTCATTGTAGGTTTTGTGTCCTCTTCCTGTATAAAAACATTAAAATAAAAGAAGGGAATTTGCCTTTTTTCTTCTTAGCCTTATGATGTGAACTGAGATTTTCACTGGCTGTGGTTATATTGCCAATCCTATAGAAGATGCTATGATAAGATTTTGCAGAAATATTCTACTTCATTACTCTTAGGTAGTCTTAACGGAATTATCCAGTACAGAGTCGATACATGTTTGATGAGAATAAGTCATTTGAAAAGGATGTGATTGCTGCCTACCACAAGCGTGTTTTACCATTAGGAGCTTGAATTAAAGAATTTGAAATCTGCATGGGTTTAGACTGTGTACTGTCACTTGTTTATTTATCTGAAAATTTAATATATCTCTCAATACTTCCTGTGTGTTTCCTGGTTTGTAATATGTTTCAGAGTAACATAAGAAATCTAAAATACAAAAGTATTGCTGATAAATACAATTCAGAGTTCTTACATTTTAGTAAAGTTCATGCTGTAATTCAGAGTGGTTTAATCATGTTACATCACAAATTTAAATAATTTGGCAAGTACTTAATGTATCACCTATTAAGAATGTTTGGGGGCTTTTTTAATGCTCAAGACTTAAAATGATCTGAGATTTTGTGGACAACTGTCTGCCTCTTGGCACACATAATACTACAAAGTTCTAACAGGTGTGTTTTATTATCAGCTCTGTTCAAGGCTGAATTGAATTATAGCAAAGAAATGCTACCTAGAGAAATAGCTTTATTATCTCTATAAAACTAATAAATCAGGCTTCTTTTGGCAGAGATACTTTTATGCATTTACCTTATCCTTTAGCGTTTTATATAAATTGACAAAGGAATGTTGAATCCTGCTTATCTCTTTAGGATGGATTCCATTAAAGTGACACAATTCAGCGATGGTTATCAATAACTGTTGAGAATGAAAATACTCCTGACTTTCTTCTTTGCCCTTTCATTATCTGCGCACTTGGAATGTTACAATCACTTTATTTATTCAGATAGTTTAAAGTGGTATGCAGTAATGGTTATTGGTCTGTCATTGTTAACAGTGAGAAATTTCAGCTAATTTGAATATGGAATCGCTTAATGCAAATTTTCCTTCTACGTAATGGAGTATAGAGCATGACTTGATGTAATGAGTACTCTCTTTTTGGTCAGATACTTTCATTCTTTCCTGCTGCCTGGCTCAGTTCTTCGCTCTGTGTTTTTGGAAGATTAAAATTTACAATCATCAGTATGAGAGACACTCACTCCTTATGCAAGAATCCTGTTCCGTGAACGCAAACACTTCACCCTGTTCACTGTAGTAAGCAATCTTCTCAAACACCAAGCGCATTTGAAATGGCAATACATGCGTAAGGCCTGAAGCTCCTGCCTGAGCTTAGTGTTGGATCATTACAGCTATCTTTGTGGATTTTTTTTTTAACACATTACTAACAGAATTAAATCATTTGCTACCAGTTAGTTAGATCGTGATTAAACAGCCTTCACTCTCCAAGAACTGATTTAAACAAGCCTGGATTCTGTTTTTAAACCAGATCGGTTAACACTAAAAATTATCCTGTAGTGCTGTGCAATACAATTTAACTTTGAATGTGTGGATTCTGGTTTTCAGCTGGTGTGAAAGAAGACAAGGCTATTACACTCCTTTTTTCAGATACTTAGAATCTGGCTAGTTATTTTATGATGCCTGCCCAATATTTCAGTTCACTTTTAGTGACTAGACTTGCATGTGTGAACTGCTTTTGAAAATAAAACTGTACGTTCCAGTCTCATCTCTCACCTTGAATATTGCAAAGGAACCTGTTGATGTATTTTATATGTCTGCATGTGTATGCACTCATATACATAACTATGTATGGAATAATATTTTTTATATACATTCTATAAGAAGGAGGCAATTGTAAAATATTTTTAAAGCATATATTCAGCTGCCTATGAATTTTTAACTGTGTAAAACATTTATATTTTGATGCTTAGAGTTTTATAGTATCTTGGAGACAAATGTTTCCATGGCATTTTTCCTTCCTAGACTTTCTCCTTATCCAAGAAAACCATGGGTTCTAAATCAAGTTTCTGGTCCTTGTTCTTATTAGATAAAAGACAGTGAAAGTTCTGACAAATCAAAGCCTTGCTTAAGCAAGTCATGCATGAAATATCCAGGCACAGTCAAAAAACTGCATGGATAGATGGTATATCTGCATTAAGATTTTCTTTCTGTGTCACTGCATTTCTAAAATGACTGTGTATGTATCTTTGGCTATGGTAGATGGATAGATAGATAGATAGATACTTTTGTTATTTTTCAGAATAGATACATAAGAATAAAGTAAAAAAAGAAAAAACAACAAAAAAACCTAGGGAGCCAGTGTATCCTCTACATTCTGGTTTTACTTCACAGCAAGGTCTTTTTTTGATTAAAATCTTTCTCATCTCAAGTTAATTGAAGACACAGTGTTTGCTACAGTCTGCGTTTATACAGAACCATTCTCTGTCATTTTATCTAAAATAGATCTGTTTGTGGCAGGATGAATTCTTACAACAGCTTCAGCTTGCACATCAACCCTGGATATTGCCGAGTGATACAGAAAGTGAAGGAGTGGAAGCTGACCAAGACAAATGTAAGTATATTTGTAAGGGCCAGATAAATATGTCAGAACCCCTCAATCTTCACTTCTCTTTTTCATATCTTCAAATGCTGTGAAGATGTCCTTCCTGCCCATAGGAGGCATACGTACGAATTACTCATTTGTTTGAGGTCTGAACTTTATAGGACTGATTTACATAAGCTTTCTGACAGTCACTGAACAGTGGCAGAACAATCAGTTCGCTAAGTGAAACTGTTTGTCCAGATGTGATAAAGTAGCTCTTCCAGAGAAGTAGCATGAAGTTGAAGAGATACTCTGTTTAGTAAATCTGTGTTGTCTAGTAGCTCTGAAAAGTAAAGCCTTCCTCCTCAGGCCTGTGACTCCACCATCTCTATTTTGCTTGCATTCTTTTGAATTCCCCTGTATAAAAAAAAAAATCTTAATCACACAAGTAATCTTAACGTCCTATGCTCTTTGAAGCAATTGTCTAATCATGAAAATGTCTAATCATGAAAGCGAAGGTCAGCAGGATCATAACCTAAATGACAGAACAAGTAACAACAAGTAACATGCAATAAACGGCAATACATTCATACTGTAGCCAGTTCTATCTGCCTACAAGGTACCTGTAAATAATCTTGCTGAAAATAATCAATATGTTGAATTTTCTTTTTTAATTCACAGTAGTTTTTTGATCTGCAGCGGTTAATATGCAAACTGTTTCCTAGCATGTTTTAGGCAAAACACTTGAACAGAGATTTAATCAGTGTGGTTTGAAAACTTAATAGAGCCTACTAAAACTGCTTTAAACATGCATAGTTAAAATAAGAAAAAAACCCCAATTTCTTCACAGAATGAAACAGTTGTTTAAGGAATTAATTATTAATAATAATCCAGATAAACAGAATGTATGTTTTAATTATGCCACTTAAATTAAGGATTTTCTATTCATTTATCGGTTTCACAAATCCATATATAGCGTTTGACTGTGAAATTCGAATTTACATAGTGAGATGCTGAAGGGCATGTGCCTGTTTTTTTAACACTAGTAGTGAATTAAAATGAAGTTCTGTGTGTCCAGCTGATTTTGCTCCAAAGCCAGTAAGACCAGTTTGACTTACATCTGATTATTTCACTTATCTTCAGGCTGAAGCATACCTTAGGTGGCCAAAGGGAGGGCCTGGTAGCTGCTTTTGCTATGCATGTGAACTTTCCTCTATTTCTGTAACGAATTTACAATCCCACAGACACTGGTAGGACTGTCCGCTCACATGTAGACTAGTGCTAATTATGTGATCAGGGAGACTGATGCTCCGGGACATTCCATAATGCACAGCTGATTACTTTATAGATGTTGTACTGGAACTGCATGATCCACGATCCTGTGCTATAAAGTTCCAAAAGTTCTAGTAGATCATTGTCACTGCCCAGTGTGACAGATTGGTAAATTTTAGATAAAAGTTTCAATCCTACCACAAAATCAGTAGGCAGTTGCCTGACTAATAACAATAGCTTTTCGTGGATCTGATAGCACTGGAAACAGAGAAGAGAAAGCAAGTTGATGTAAGCTTAGTTTCTGATAAAAATTTAAAAACATGTTATTAAGGGCATTGTTCAAATTCTTCTTAAATGGTGATGGGCTTGGGACATTGACCACCTCTCTAGGAAACCTTTTCAGATTTTTGATTACCCTCTTGGTAAAAAAATACATTCTGATGGCCAGCCTGAACTTCCACTTGTGCGGTTTTGAGCCATTCCCCCTTATCACTGGGTCCCAGGGAGAAGAGATCAGCCTTCCTCATCCACTCCCCCACCTCAGGAAGCTGTAGAGAGCGATAACGTCATCCCTCAGCCTCCTTTTCTCCAGAGAAGCCCAAAATATTTAGATGCTGCTCATAGGACATGTCTTCCAGCCCTTTCACCAGCTTTGTTGCCCTCCTCTGGATGCATTCAAGGGCCTATACATCCTTCTTAGGTTGTGGGGCCCAGAACTTCACAGCTGTCAAGGCAAGGCTGCACTAGTGCTGAATACAGTGAGATAATCCCCTCTCTTGACTGGCTGGTCATGTGTGTGATGCACCCAGGACGGAGTCTGCCCTTTTGGATGGCAGGGCACACAGCTGCCTCCTGCCAACAAGCACCCTCAGATCCCTTTCTGCAGGGCTGCTCTCTGGCCACTCCTCTCCCTGTTTATACTTGTGCTTGGCATTACATTGTCCTAGGTGTGGAATCCAGCACTCGGACTTGTTAAATTTCATGTAATTATTGACCAACACTCCAGCCGGTGTAGATCCATCTGCAAGGCCTCTTGTCCTTCAAAAGGGTTAACAGCAACTCTCAGTTTGGTATCGTCAGGAAACTTGCTAATGGAGCATTCAATTGAATAGAATTGAACCCTGAGGAACACCACTGCTGCCAGGTCACCAACCAGACACCAGATATAGCCCCATTCACTACAGTTCTCTGAGCTCTGTGCTTCAGCCAGTTCTTCACCCAACACACCATGAAGCTGCTCACCCCTCAGTTGGACAACTTGTCCAGAAGGATGCTGTAAGGAACACTATCAGAAGTGCTACTAAAATCCAGAAGAATTACATCCACTCACTTCTCTTCATCCACGAGGTGGGTGACCTTATAATGGATATCAAATTAGTTAGACAGGAGTTTTCCTTTGTGAACCCATGTTGGCTGTGCAGTTAATTGTAGTGAACTTCTGCACCCTTTATAATAGCAGGTCAGTGTTTCTGCTAATATAACTAAAGGAGTAGAACCAAAATGTTTGATCAAAGCAATACTTTCTGTATCTGTAATCTAATAATGATATATTATTAAAAATAACAATAATAATGTTATCATCCCCATCTGCAGCTATATGCTAGGGTCACTGGCAAGCAGAAGGTGCAGAACTGCCACTGCTGACAAAGAGAAGCTGCCAATTCCCAGTTGTAAAGTGGAGAGTCAGTGAGGGGCTTGGCATACTTGCTGATGCCAGTGCTTGTAGGCAGAACAGCTGGCAAGGTTACATATCATTTTTCACCCTAAAGTTAATAAATCTATGTGGATGTTGTCTGTGATTTAGTGTTGAGGGGGCCCAGGAGTTCATAATTTATGAGTTTGAGCAGAAGAGCTGCAGAATTAATCTTTACAATAGCAACACCTGTTCTTTGACTCAGCTTTTAATAAATTGTATGTGGGTAATATTTACCACATTCTTTGACTACTTTTAGATAATAGCAGCCAGGTGTAAAGCTAGTTTGTGGTGGTGAGAAAACTAACAATGCAAAAAGAGAAGCTATGTGAGTCACCTTGACTTCTTTTAAATTAATACCTTCTGGTTAGTGTTCTACAAGAAAAAGAAAGAAAATATCTGGGGATAACAGTTTCAAATGTAGTCAGATGTAAGAGTTTGAAGAGGCTATTTTCAAAGCCAGTGATACCTGACAAGAATTGGGTCACTTTGGCATCTCAACATCTTCCAGCAAACATCATCCGCAAAACAGATACAAAAGAGCACATCTTGTCTCAGGGAAATAAGATCTACGTTCTCAGTTCTTATAAATCAGACTTTACTTCCTGAATCCTTCAGTCTCTCTGACAGCTTTTTAAAGATTTATCCTTCTCAAAAAGATACTAAGATAGCTGGAAGTCAATAATTTTTAAAGCTTCATGCCAATTATGACAAAATTTGAAATCAAATAGGTACTCATATAAAAGAGTATAAGCAATTACAACTTAAAACGTTTGTTATGTTAAAGAAGGAAAGAAAAACATTTTTAAGAAGTATTGTTATTTTTTTAGCATACCCTATCCTTCCTCTTTATGTGCTTAATTAAATTTGTGGGCATGTACAGATATGTGTATAATTATTAACTCTTGTAATTTAAATTTTGTTACTAAAAAATAAGAACCAGTACATCCTTTTTAAAAAACTATTGTTATTTAGTAACTCTTCTGCTTGCTAGATGTGTTCCCCTTTGATACTCAGTACACACTGAGCAAAGAGAAATGAAAATGGCCAAGGCAATGAGATACAAAATCAAGGATTTGTGGTTCTTTTTTTTTGATTTTAATGTCACTTAAAAGCCTGTAGACAGGGTTTTGTGTCTTTCTCCTCAGCTGTCATTCTGAAGACAGTTCCTCATTATTTATTGTAGTAGTTTGCTTGTGCGCTGATTCTCTGCAAAGAGTTTTCAGAGGATGTGTAGAGATCATTCTTGGAAAGAAGAGGGATCTGGAGAAAGGATTTACGAGTTCCACAGTACTTCAGTTTGGTGGGAGATCTCTGAGCTGGCAAAAATCATTTTCTTCTTTATGGGATACTGATGCAAGTAAAGAGAAGTCCTGTGTCTAAAACCACCAGGGCATTTCTCAGCTAGCTTTTATGAGAAGAAATCTGGCCTTTCAGGGAACTGGCGAGAGTCAACTTGAGTTTTCCTTGAGAACGGATCCTACAAAGACTGCTGGTTGAAAATTTTTGATATATCACTAGCTTCCAGGAACCTTGAAAAGACAGACTTTTGGTGTAATTTGACCTACTATCTCTAGTCCTGGCATGGATTTACTGCCCAAAAACCTGAGTCTACTTTCTTGGGTGCCTAATTTAAGAAGTAACCTACACAACAGATTTCCACAGGATCTCTGCCTGTGGTCAGTCCATTTGGAAGGTGTACATGATAGGAGAATAACAGAGACTCTTAGTGAACTAACTATTTATTTAATCCACAGTAAATATATACCTATATGTATATACATTCTTTGCCCTACTCCACTTAAGGCATATCTGTCATCAATGGCACACTAAGTTGTGTGGCTACTATCACTTCACTCCAACTTCACCTTGCCAACAAGAGCACTAGATGCTGATTTTTAGCTCAGTTGATCTGCGACAAGGCTTGAATTCTCACCTACTGACCTGTGGCAAGAAACTTAAGTGTTTTGCCTCTATACACCTTATACATCTGCAAACTCTTTTCTGAGGTTTGCAGTTGATGGTCTACTGCTGATAAATCAAAGCTGATTATTGGGAAAAAGTG